GGATCTCCGCAGCCCTTGGCTCCCGGGCGCGGGCTGGGGCGGTCCTCGGTGGACCCCTCGGGGAACCGGTAGGGAAACAGAGGCGCCCAAGCCCAGAGACCCGGCGCCCCTTTCTCTCCCTCGGCAGCGGGACGCCAGCCAGAGCTGTGCTGTGGCCTTGCCCTGAGGGTTCCCTGCGCGCCTGGCCCGCAGAGGAATTTCCTCAGTTCTGAGGACTTTTATACGTAGCTGCTCCGGTTCTCTCTGTGATCCCCAGAGGTCTCCACACCCCACCCAGGTCGTGTGTGGCCCGCCTTCCTTGAGCGAGTCATCCATTCAGTTACAAACCTGCCAGGCCCTCTGCCAGGTGCTGAAGACGCAGCGAGAGCACACGCAGAGGCCTGTGGTAATGAACTTGACCGTCTGCTGAGGGAGGCAGACACTGGTGAAATACCTAATGGCTCAAGGGAAAATTTTCAACATTGACAAATTTTAATAAGGAAGAGGCCCAGAGTGCTAGAAGCATAAATACACGAGGGACCTGATCCAGAACCGGAGTCAAGGAAATGATGCTGGACTGCGGAGGGAGGTACAGGAGTTAACTACATAAAGAGGAGGAGGCCATGGCAAGAGAGAGCCTGGCCTGGTAAGAGAACAGCAGGAGCTGTGTGACAAGGCCCGAGAGTGGGGGACAGTGGAGGAGGTGAGGCCATAGAGATCAACAAGGATGGCAGGCCATGGTAGGGGCTGTGGTCTAGATCCTAAGAGGGATTGGGAGCCGCTGAGGATTTTAGCCAGAACAGGGACACCTATGTTTCCAAAAGATGTTGGAAGGAGCCAGAATGGATATGGGAGATAGCGGTTTGATCCCCAGTCAGGGCACATGCCTGGGTTTTGGGTTTGATCCCCAGCAGGGGGCGTGCAGGAGGCAGCCGATCAATGACTCTCTTATCATCTCTCTCCCTCTCCCTCTCCCCGAAATCAATAAAGACATATTTTTAAAATAAATAAATAATGCTGCTATGAACATTCACATACAAATTACTATGTATACATATATTTTCAATTTTCTTAGATATATAGTGGATTGCTGGGTCTATTTTAACTTTTTGAGGAACTTACAGGTCATTTTCCACAGTGTCTACACCATTCTGCATTCCCACCAGCAATGCATAATGGTTCCAGTTTCTCCACATCCTTGTCAACATGTTATTTTCCCCTCTTTTTATTATAGCCATCTTAGTGGGTACAAAGTGGTGTCTCATGGTGTTTTTAATTATTTTGAGAATCTTTCATATCTTCTTTGGAGAACTGTCAATTCAGATCTCTTGGCTTTTTTAAATTAAAAAAAAAAATGTTTTTATTCATTTTAGAGAGGGAGGAAGGGAGAGAGAGAGAGAAACATTTATGAGAGACACATTGATCAGGTGCCTCCTGCACTCTCCCTATCAGAGATGGAGCCTACAACCTGGGCATGTGTCCTGACTCAGAATTGAACCAGTGACCTCTTGGTACAGGGGTCGATGCTCAACCAACTGAGCCACATTGGCCAGGGCAGATCTCTTGCCCATTTTTAAAAAAAAAAACAACAAAAAACTTTATTTTTTAGAGCAATTTTACACAGCAAAATTGAGTGGAAAATACAGAGAGTTCCATATGGTCTCCCCCTACACACACACACAGCCTCCCCCACTATCAACTTTTCCCACCAGAATGGTATATTTTGTTACACTGACTTCATCATCATCCAAAGCTCATAGTTTACATTAGGTTTCACTCTTGGTGTTGTGCATTCTATGGGTTTTGACAAATGTATAAGAACATGTATCTACCATTATAGTAACATACAGAATAGTTTTACTGCCCTAACAATCCTAAGTGTCTTTTGAAGAGCAAAAGTTTTTATTTTGATGAAATCCAATTTATTTACTTTTTTTATGAGTTACGTGCTTTTTGGTCCCTAAGAAATCTTTGTCTAACCCAATGACATAAAGACTTCCTGTTTTCTTCTGGAAGTTTTATAGTTTTAGGTTTTCCATTTAGATCTATGATTCATTTTAAGTAGATTTTTATATATGATGCAAGGTATGGGTTGTCAAGAGCAATAAAGGATATAAGATTTTACCCTACTTGCAAGTTAAGAAGTTTCCCTGCCACAGTTCCAATGGATGCTGGCAAAACACATAAGACTCCTACAACAGAGACAAAGGGCTTTGTTTGCAACAGGCTTCATGTTTGCGTTGGTTCCCCATGTCCCCCAAGTCTCACGGGCTATGCCAAAAGACCCAGGTGGATGAAGTACAAACAGGTACACACAGAGGGTTTGTATCACAGCTCAGCAACTCTGAGCTTAAGGAACATCAACCTTTTATAAAGGACTACAAGCAGACCTGCCCAACCTTTGCCCCAGAACAATAGATTATCTTTTTTATCTGGGCAGTAAACAAATTTGCCCTTTGCTCTGGAGGTAGACACTATCTCCAGGCTGTTTCATGGACAAACATCCTTGAAAAGACAGTCTGGAACAAAAGGAGAGTTAGTGTCTAACACTTAAAAATGTGAAGATACATGAGAGACCCATGGAGAATTGTCTCCCAAATAGATTGATGCTCTTTTTTTCCTTTCTTTTTTTTTTTGTGGGTTTTTTTTTTTTTTTTTTTTTTTTTTTTTTTTTTTTT